GGGTGAATAAACCACACGCGCATCCCACTTGATCTTGAGCATCCAGTTGCATCTGGGCAAACCTTCCAGGAAAGGTTTCGTTCTGGAAGACTTCTCTTTAAAGAATGACGAAGAGTCAAACATCTGCACGAGTCTTTACAGAGACATTAAAATTCAGGGAGCGTCACAAAGAAACGGTGAGTGTGCAAGGTGATCTCCCCGCCCGCGTCCCCAGCAGCCAGGCTCAGGAAACCTTCCCTCCGTAACCAGCAACGAGTGGAAGTGGAGAGCTGGGAAATCAAAGCTGAATTATGTGTGGGTGTCTGGACGTGAAGGGATAACTCTAACAGAAATCTCCTCCTGCCGAACTGAGAAATCAGAGCGAGACCTTTACTTCTGTCGACACCAACACAGTGAAAATAGAAGGGATGAGGCTGCCATTTCCAGTTGACCATTGCCATGGAAACAGCCTCCCGGTGTCAACAGTTGGTGGAGCAGGAGGTGGGAAGCAAGGCGGGCTTTTGTTCCCATCTGCAGAGGTAGGACAAAGGACCCACTCGTGCTACCTTCGGTGCTTGTAGGGCTTTTAAAGTGTTTTGTGTCAGTTGGGAGCAGCCAAGGGCAGGACTCTGGTACAAGGGTTTGCAGTGGGACATCTGAGATAGATCAAGAGGGAGAGGCAAATGGAAACCTGACCTTGATCTCCCTTCCAGGGAGATCTTATAGCAGCCTTCCAATACCTGAAGGGGCCTACAAGAAAGCTGGGGAAGGACTTTTCATAAGGGCAGTTAATGCCAAAACAAGGGGAAATGGGTTTAAGCTGAAAGAGGGGAGGTTTAGATGAGATATTAGGAAGAAGTTCTTCACTGTGAGGGTGGTCAGACACTGGAACAGGTTGCCCAAGGAAGTTGTAGATGCCCCCTCCCTGGAAGTGTTGAAGGCCAGGCTGGATGAGGCTTTGAGCAACCTGGTCTAGTGGAAGGTGTCCCTGCTGCTGGCAGGGGGGTTGGGACTGGATGAGCTTTAAGGTCCCTTCCAACCTAAACCATTCTATGATTCTATGATTATTCCAAATATTACAGCTCTGTCAGTCAATCCAGCTTGCCTGTTTCATGTGGGAGATGTCATCATTGTTACTCAAAAAACAAAAGACGGGCCCTTACCTGTCAAAATGGGGCAAAGCAGCAGCATGTAGCTGTAGGGAATGGTGCACATACGCATATGTGTAAGCTGCGTTGTACGTATGGGATACGAAAGAGCAAGAGCTTTGGGATAGAAACAGAAAGCATAAAATGGATGACATGGCAAAGAGGAATGTCTAAGAGTATTCAGAAAGCATTAAATGATCAGATTTAAATGTAGGAAGGCATTTTAGGGGTGAGTTTTGCTTAGAGTGGAAGGAACCACAGAGAGGGGAATGGTCAGAGTTTTAGCCATTGATGGTGTTTGGTCTAGAATGAAGGTGAGACAGCAAGGTAGGCTTGAGATGCCAAGGAAGAGGAAGGTACCTGCAAGAGTTGCGGGCTGCAGACCTGGTAATTGTGGAGGACTGAGTGCCACCACCAGCGAAAGAAGGCAGAAATAGCCAGGGTGTTGTAAGAAACCTGGATGATCATACTTTTCTGTGAGCAAGTTTCCTTCTGAGCTGCCTTTTTGCTGGTAATCTAGATAATTTTTCATTCCTTTGCTCACAATGTCAGACAAAGTCCTGACAACACTAATGAACGGGGAGCCACTCGGCCAATTTGGAAAGGTCATTTTTATTGTCTTTTCTTCACAAGGGAAGAAAGAAAAGAAAGGTGCAAGCTCAGTTTCACTGAAAGAGGTTCGAGGCATTTCTGCCAGGAGCAGCACTAGCACTCTGAATTGTGGACCTTCCTCCAGCCTCACTTTTCTTTGAGCACCCGGTGAAATACCAGTAATTTTCCCTGACTCCACTGCCTCAATGCTACAAGTGCTGCACAGAGGGTGCGTGGCAAGGAATATGTTGCTGCTGTAATGCAGCAGCTTTTAGACCTGTTTTTGGTATCGCTGGAAAGAAAGTGTTGGAGCAGTTCACAGCTTTCATTTTAAATTACGAAGAAATGCAGGAGTCGTCTGAACAGAAATTCAGATTAAAATACTTCCCAGAATTTCTCTTAAGCTTCAATCATTTATCTTTTTGTGTGTGTGTTCCTACTATATGACCATATTTAATCAAACATACTTCTACAGTGGTTTCACTTTTTGAACCACTAAAACAGAAACAGGAAGAGTGTGTGTATGCTTTTTATTAACCTTCCTTTCATAATGCACTTTCTTCTTTACAGAAATCTTTTTTTGATTCATTATGTGTCAGGAAGCCAAGCGTGACATGTTAAAAGCCATCTTGATAGTATTTGGTATTCAGTACTAACAACCCACCAGCTCACAGGAGTTTTTCTTTAAAAGGGGGAGGAAGAAAAATCTGCATATTGGACATGCCAAGATAGTGGATAA